GGAATTCAGGGAGGGGAACAGCATTGGGGAATCAGGGAAGGGGAACAGACACGTTGCTGTCCTTTTGTTCTTCAGTCTAGTTGTGGAGGACATCGCTTCACTGGCCCATGTTGGTATTGTGATCATTGCGCTCTTCCCAGGTGAGGCAGTCACTTGCCGGCCATTGGACGGCCACTCACGGCAGCTCTTGGCAGCTCATGGCGGCTCTTGGCAGCTCATGCTGGCTCCCAGCAGCTCACGGTAGCTTACAGGAGCCCACTGCAGCTCCACTGCAGCCTACACGGTGGCCTGCGGCTCACGGCAGCCCAACTCCAGGTCGAGCTGTTGTTCACCATCTTAGCTGTAGAGGGCATTGTCACTGGTCCTCATGTGGGGCCCCAAACTGCTGCTCAGAGCTGGCGTCCCAAACCAACTCTGAGCAAGCGCGCCACTCGGCTGGCCCACCAATATCATTTTTGTCAAAGATAAATGACATATCGGTGTTCACACTTGTTTCTCTGTGTCACAATCATCATCAGCAACAGAAAACAAAAAAGGTGGGGATATTTTCCAAATTATCTTAATCAGGCAGAAAAAGTTTTGATGAATTTTTTGGTGGTAAACTATACATCATGCAAAATTTACCATTTTAACCATTTTTAAGTGGTTAAATGGCATTAAGTGGTACTCAATGGCATTAAGTACATTCATACTGTTGTGCAACCATCACCACCGTTCATCTCCAGAACTTTTTCATCTTCTCAAACTGAAACTTTGCCCCCACCAAACACGCACTCCCCTTTTGTGCTTCCCCACCCTCTGGCAGCCACCTTTCTACTTTCTGCTGCTATAAATTAGACTACTCTAGGTATCTCATATATGTGGAACACAGTATTTGTCTTTTTGTAACTGGCTTATTTCACCTAGCAAAATGTCTTCAAGGTTCACTTTGATGAATTCTTTATATTAACATTTATTGATAACTCACGTCCTAGAGCTGTGCTAAAGGTTTCACATGTATTGTTTCATATAACAAATTGTGAGGTAGGAGTTTGTTCTGGGGCCATTTAACCGGCAGTGAAACCAAACTTAAGAAGGTTAAGTCAGTTGAAATCCATGGAGCTACCAAGTGCAGGCCTAGCCTGGAACCGACCCTGCCCGCCTCCTCACGGCCACACCACCTCTGTGACTGTCTGGGAGCCTTCCTGCAGCCCTTCACCTTGCTTTGGCTCAGTTCAAAGCTGCCTGGTAACAGCAAGATTACAGGAGTTCCAACTCCCAATTTGCCTCAAACTGCAGATGTATATGTAGGAAGGCAATATGTCTATTTGGCATCTTATTGAGAAAACACTTCTGCATAAGCTCCATTCATGAAAAGTTAATGGCTTCAGTGGAAGGAAGCAGGCACATGAAATGTTTCAACCAAAAAATGAAATAAAAATTTGCTGGCACCTATTTAAGATTTTTCTCCAGATACTGCTAAAAGTCTTTGATCATAAAAAAAATTTATAATGAAGTCAACTATAATATATTCAGCAGTCAGAACATAAGAACCATATCTTATATGGTTAAGCACAAATTATGAGGCTACATCTATATATAAATTGACTTTTAAAAACCCAGCTCTTTTTTTTTTCTTTTTTGGTATATAGTTCATATACCATCCAATTCACCTATTTGTAGTGTACAATTCAATACCTTAGCTTTCTGCGTGGATGAAAATTGCCTTACCTTCTGACCACTTTACATTACTTTGATTGATTTGATTGCTGGGAGTCAAACTGGAAAAGTTAAGCCCCACAATGTTTCTGCGTCATAGGCTGCTGTTTTAGTTTCATATTAGTATTTTGTCTGTGTGTGTGTTGTTTCTATTTCTGTGACTACTTAATTTCTTAACCTTTTGTGTCTTCAAGGTTCTCGTGTTGTAGGTTATCTGGAGTTGCATTATTGTATGATAGATGCAACAAAATAAAAGGAGGTTAGCCTTTCAGTCATGCCAGAAATGCAGGGAGGTCAGTGGGCAGGCCCTTCCCATCATGTGTATCAGCATTTTTTTCCACTTGCAAATTCAGATGTCTATCTCCTACTGCTCTTAGAAGGACTGAGAATCCCCAGGCTCCAAGCCCCAGGCTGGAGCGCCTTTGAGGGTGGGGAGACCCTCAGCATGCAGAGATAAGAGAAGGAAATGGGGGGGGGGTGCAAAAGTGGTGGGGGACAAGAGCAGCACAGCCAGGAGCCCCATCTTCCTCGGCTCCTGCTCCAGCTTCTTCCCCCACTCACCGAGAGCCTGGGAGTAAGGCTGGGAGCCTGGGCTGACCACACTTTCCCTTCCCCCACAGGCGTCCTCTGCCATGGTGGGTGCTGCAGGGTCAGCTCTAGAATGAACCGAGGCTGAGGGTGGTGGTGGAGGGAGAAGGCGATGACATGGCTGTTGGGCTGTTAATTGGGTCTGCGGGAAAACCTGCAGGGACAAGGAAAAGACCGTGGGACTGGTGGCAGAAGGGAAAAAAAGAAAATTCCGTGGTTTGTCCAATGAGGGACTGTACGTAGAAAATGTTGTATTAGCCAACACATGTGTAGTGCTGTGTGGAGGGGCCATTTCAAGTGCTTCGGTGTATTAATTCATTCTGAATCTTTGCAAACACCTCATGATGTAAATATTATTATGATCCCCATTTTACAGACAAGGAAACTGAGGTATAGAAAATTTCAATAACTTGCGGAATGTCAGATGGTAGGTGGCACAGTCACGATCAAGACTCTCCTTGGGCCATGCTCTCTGCCCTGGGCTCCAGGCCCAAAGCTGCATGCACACTGCAGGAGCCCATGTTTTCACATATACGTAGGTATATGGTAATTTGAGTGTTGATCTTATGCAGCTTCCTACATATTTGAAGACAAGGCAGGTAATGGGGGTACTTCTGGCACCAGATTCATCCCCTTTTGAAAAGCAATTTTCATCAGCTTCTTTTCAAGGGAGGAGGTCTCGGCCCATCCTTCAGTAATGACCTTGGCCCAGGGAGTCAGGGTGAGAACTGGGCTGGGACATGTTCACAGAGTTAGGACAAAACTGTCACCTGCCTCTCACAGATCACAGGAACAAATGTGATCGATTGATGAATGCTAACAAGGTTGCTCTCGCATTAATTTTGGATTCAGATGGAAGCAAAAGTGTAGCTACTATTTTGGAAATATATTTGTGTTTTTAGTTCTAAAGGGAAATAGCAACAATATCTTTCTTTAGTCTCAAATTCTGACCCCTTTTTTCTTTTACTTTATCTGCCACAGTATTTTTGTTTTGAGAATACATGAAAAATATTAGAGTGAAAAACATAATCTGTGTGGTCACTTGGGGAACCAATTCACCCCACATGGGGCTCATGGCTGCCCACCCTGGGCACAGTTCTAGGTACCCAGGAAGCAGAAGCAAACAACACACACCATCTCCAGGTTCATGGAACTAGTCGGGGCTGTGAGATGATATGCAAATAAGTCAACACAATAAGATTTCAGATAGGCATAGGTATATTGAGGAAGAAAATAGCAGTTGTGTTTGAGAGAAAACAGAACAGGCAGAATCATTCCCTACACACTGCACACTGTTTAATGAGCATGTATTAAGTACCTAAAATGAGTTACGCATTTGAGATATGAAAACATACTATCTGTCCTCCACAGCAGCAACAAGAGGTGGGGAAGAAAATTCCAAGCGGGTTGACTTGTGACCTGTCTTTGTGTTATCGAGGAAAACTTCCCTGGGATAATGTTGACATTAACATGTTGACACTAAAACTATAATGTGGCTTAAATGCTGACAGTGTAATATAGCCCCCAGTGGATTTGATTGTGGGCACAGTTTGATTGGAAGTGTTTAGCACGCAGAGACCTCCCCTGCCTGGACTAGAACCATAAGCCTGTGTTTGCTCATTATTACACAAGGACTCTGGGTGTGCTTCTCCCAGAGGCATGAAGACATGCCCAGCTGGTGTTGCATAAAAAGCAAGCTTGTGCATTCAGCAAATATAACCTGGTGAACAGAGCCCGTGTCACCCACTCACCCAGAGGGGAGTCGACGTCCTGCTGCTTCTCAAGCCATGGACATTGAGAAGGTCAATTCCATGGACTTCGGGGAATTTGTGGATGTGTTTGGGAATGTCATTGAGAGATGTCCTCTAATAGCAGCGGCTGTTTGGTCCCAGCGCCCATTCTCTGACTTGGAAGACTTAGAGAAGCACTTTTATGCCTTTATTGATGCTCTTCCTCCATCAGGTAAGGCTTCAGTAGTAGACACTGAGATTCTCCATAGAGGGCTTTCAAATATTCTTTTTTTTTTAAAAGATTTTATTGGGGAATTGGGGGAGGGGAATAGTGTTGGGGAATTGGGGAAGGGGACCAGCCAAATTGTTGTTCTTCAATCTTAGTTGTGGAGGGCGCCAGTCACCATCTGGCTTCCCGTTGGCAGCTCGTGGCCTCCAAGTTCAAGGTGCTGTGTTCAATATTAGTTGCAGGTGGGTGTAGCCACCATCCCATGCAGGAGTTGAACCAACAGCCTTGTTGTTAAGAGCGCACGCTGTATCCACTGAGCCATCCAGGTGGCAGCTCAGCTCAAGGTGTCGTGTTCAGTCTTAGTTGCAGGCGGGCGTAGCCCACCATTAAACAGGCAATCGTGTTGTTACACCAGCTGAGCCATCCTGCCACTTGTTGGCAGCTCAGCGACAGCTCAGCTCGGGTGCAGCGTCACTGGCCCATGTGGGAATCAAACCGGTGGCCCTGTTGCTCAGAGCTTGTGCTCTTAAGCCAACTCTTAACCAACTGAGCCACTCGGTCAGCCCTCAAATATTCTTATCAAAACATTTTTCCATAGTTTAGCCTCGTTGTTTATAATTGATATATTTATTTAGTTATTTTGATTGTAAGGTTTGCTAAGTTTCCTCAAACTCAAGCACTTGCAAGGTGGTAAGCCAAAAGTAAAATGAAAGAATGGATATTGGCTCAGGCAATGTGGCTGTTAAATATTAAAGCTGTGAGGTCACGAGGGCCTCAGGGGAGTACAGAGGCCAAAGGTCAGGCTGACAGCCAACCCTCTCTCAGCTGGGAATGTCCTCACTTTGGGAATGTCCTATATGCAAGAGAGGAAACAGCTCAGTATCAGACTATCTTAGGAGCCCAGGGGAAAAAGCAAATGGCTGATATTTTGACCAGAAAGGGCCAGTTTGGACCAGGCTGCTAAAGAAAGTAAATTCATTCAGATCAGCTTGGGGGTAGGGGTGGGGTTCAGAGGGAAAAGACTAAAATCTGAATGAATTCCTCTGGAGAAAGGGAAAGAAACTGTGGGTCTCCTCTGGGTATGGAGAGAAGAGGAGACACTTCCGGGTGAGGGGCGGGAAGAAGCAGAGATGAAGGTTTCGGTGAACCCCAAGTGGTGCAGAATGACACACAGCCACACCAGGATTTAGAGGTCGAGGTTAGCAGTGGAGGCTATCCTCATCCCCTTCAGTGAAGCCTGGATGGAGCTGAAGGGACTCTGGACCAGGGGTGAAGGCTGCCTTCCCCAGCCTTCCACAGTGATGTGGGGCGGGGCGGGAGACCTTCGCTCTTCTCTCTTCCATAACGAGGCCAACAGACAGGGTGTAGCCTACCAGTCAGGGCTTTGACATCAGATGGCTTCCCATTGTCAGGTGACTGTCTCCCAAGTAGGGAACTCGTTTTAATTTATTTCAGGCACTTTTAGGAAGCATGGAGGATAGTGCTATAATGTAAAGTCACGCTGACAAATGTTGGGGCCATGTAGACACCCACCTCTCAGGGCCTCTGCACAGCTGCACCCCCTCCTCCACCCCCTCCCACCACTGGGCTCAGGCATGGCAGGGAGCTGATGGGGGAGCTGATGGACACTGGAGCCTCACAGGAACGGTCAGCCCAGCTTGCCGAGTGAAGCGACTCCAGCTTGCCAGCCAAAGCCTACAGAGCAAGCGGGAAAGAGCAGGAGGCCGTGGGAGCCCACGTTCAAAATGTCTGGCAGGAAAATGGACGAGGCCAAATCCAAGTCTTCTAAGCCAGAAGGGAAATGACGTTTAAAGGGTGTGAACGTCTTATGAATGACATTTTTTTTTCTGTCAGGAAAAATAAGGACAAAAATCCTGTGACCTGTCTCAATACCCAAAGGGGTAGTGGGGCTGGGCAGCAAATGTATTGAGAGAGAAAGCTATGATGGCATCAATAATTTAAATCTAGTATTCATTGGTTGATATAGTTATGCAACATTTATTTGGGGTTCACTTTGTACCAGAAGCTTAAATAATAAAATAAAATGTTCCCAATTTCTGTCTTTCCCACCAGCAGTCACCTTGGCCAGTGTGACCAAAAGCTCTGATTAAGGTTAGTTAAAGTCTAGTTAAGAGGCCTGTCTGCTGGTGGAGCCTGCTTCTCAGCCCTGTGCTGGTGTCCACACTTCTCTTAGACAGGCAGCTGGGGGGCAGAGTCTCAATGCTGTCTGGGATACCCTGGAACTAATCACCTTAATTACATTAGGTGGGTGACGTTAGCAAAGTAATAATAATAACAACAATAGCTAAAATGTATTCAGCCCTTACTATCAGTGTGTTTCAGGCACTTTTCCAAATACTTTGCATTTGTTAACTCATTGAATCCTCATATTAATCTTATAAAACAAGTATTATTATTATAATCCCCAATTTTCAGATGAGAAAACTGAGGCACAGAGAGGTTAAGTAACTTGATCAAGGGGCACACAGCTAGAAAGTGGCAGAATTGGGATTCAAACTCTGATAGTCAACCCAACAGCTTTAGAAAGATTTTCCAGAGAATCAGAAACAAAATCTAGAAACAGTTTCTAGAGGTTTGATTTATCCATTCACTAATTTATTCAATTAAAATGAATGCTTGACATCTCAGATCCCATTTTGGTTGTTTAAATAATCAAATTAAATGGGATTTATTGCATAGTCTACCTTTACTCCTTGAATAGTAAGGAACAAATTGGGTGTAATAGTCTTTGTATCCTAAAACCAAAAGGGATTTTTAAAGAGACGTGCAGCATATGGTAATCTGCCTGGTCAAAATTTGTTTTAAGTGATGTAAGAAAACTACCATTAACAGGAAACTGAAAATCCTGTTTGTAGCATAAACCAAGGTTGACAATCTATTGACAATCCGTTTAAGTTATGTTATGATGGTGATTAGCCAGTAGGTGGCAGTCCAGGATTAAAATTCAGCTCCAGTACGACTTGGCAAAGTACCCTTTCAGGGGGATCAGTTCCTGCTTCCCAGGGGATTGGCAACAGTAAAAGGGAAGAAGGTTGAAACACACACATGCATGCACGCGCGCACACACACACACACACACACACACACACACACAGCCAATGGTGAACTAATTCAGTACTGACTTGTGTTAAATACCAAAGAACAACAAAACTGTCAGAATAGAGTTAATCGTGCATCTCTTTCTGGCATTTCGGAATTGCAACAATGCCATAACTTGTTATTTAATACTTATTTCAAAACATAGTCATTGGATTAATGAAGGAGTTAGATACTAATAAATCCCTTGCATGCAGGCTATAAGGTATTTAGATGAGGCTATTAGAATGCATTCCATCAAAAAATATATAACACTCCTTCCTGAGGGTGATGTGTTGGTAGATAAATATTTATTGAGTGCCCACAATGCCCCAGGAATTGTCCCAGGTACTGGGGATAGAGCAGTGACCAAGACATGTCCCTGCCTTCAGTGACTTTACACTCTAGCAAAGAGAGACAGGATTAACATAAATATATAAGATAATTTCAGATTCTAGAAACTACTAGAAGAAAATGTGTAATATTGTAGAAAATATGTGATAAAAGAGGTCTTTTTTAGGAAGTGACACTTAAGTTTAAAACCGAAGATAAGAAGGAAACAGCCAAAGATCTAGGAGGCCACTCTAAGAAAAGGAAAGTAAGACTTTTGACATTTTGGGGGCACAGAAAGACCAAGGTGGCTGGAGAGTAGTGACGAGTGGAGGGGTATGAGGAGAGAAGTCAGGTGAGGGGCTGCTGTGGTAGTAACAGGAGAGGTACTGGTTGTAGGGACTGGGGCTGGGCCAGGAGATGCCGAGATGTGGCTGGGTTTTTGGAATAGATTTTAGAGCCTGAGCCAACCGATTTGGGGGATGGGTTTGTTGAGGAACGCAGGACAGAAACTAAGACAAGTGAAGGATAACTGCTAAGTGTTTAGTCTGAGCACCTGGGTGGGTGGTGACCCTGCTTTCTACACTGGAAGACTTTAGATTGAGAGGTCAGGATGGAGAATGGGACTTTGTTAATGTGAGATGCCTGCTAATCACCCAGACAAAACCACTGCGTGTTCAGGTGGGCCATAACAAGGGAACTCAGTGGAAAGCTGTGGGCCAGACTAGATCTGGGTGTCATCGAAGAGCTGATGGCATTCAAAGCCATGGTACTAGATGAGAACACTTAGGGCATCCATATAACCACAGGAGGGAAATGTGAGTACTGAGCTCTGGGTACTTCAGTGTTAGAGACCACGCAGAGCAAGAACCAGGGGTGAAAGTAGGCAAGTGATGGTGTTCTTTCAAGAAGGTGAGAGGGCTAGCTATGTGACATGCTCCCAAGAGGTGGACAGAGAAGAGGACAGCGCTGGTTATGGGCTAGGACAAGATGTCCATCATCTGGGGCCCTGATGAGTGCAGATTGGTGGGTGGGTGGGGCTGAAAGCTTGGCAGAGAGAGCTAGGAATGGGAGGGGAGGAAGTGGAGAAACACAGACAACTCCTTTGAGATGCTGTAAGGAGGAGCAGAGACATATGGAGAACCTGGAGAACAACAGGGACTCAAGGGAAGGATTTAATTTTGTTTATGAGACAAGTGATTCTAAGGCATATTTGTGTGTTGATGATAAGGCAGTGGGTTGTGGGGGAGAAACTGATGTTTGAAATTGCAGCCTTTGAGATGGAAAGAGGGAGGGGCTAGCTTCAAGCACACCAGTGGAGAGGTTGGTCTTCAACAGAAAAGACAATGATGCATTGTACCAGGAGGGAGCACACACTAGTTGGCACAGGTGTAGGGCCACTGGTGGGTTAGAATGGGGTTCTAAGCCAATTATCTGCTCTTCAGTGGTCACCATTGCTTCCCCTGTTCTCCTATTGGAACAAGGAGTGTCAGCTCCGTGCCAGGAATTCTCCTAGGTGCAAAGACTCACGACTTGTGGCTGCAACAATCAATACATATCCACACCTACATCTCGAACCGTGATACGCCAGTGCATAGGCAGTAAGTCTAAGATTTTAGGAAAGACTGAAGAACAAGCAGGATTGAAATGGCCCTGCAAATCATGGGACATTCCACAGACCTGGCCAGCTAGCACTTGGGCCTTCCAGGTGGGAGGCCCCACAGGACAGAGGCAGGGAAGTTGGAAGTAACCCCCTCTCTGGGGTTTAAGGCCAGGATAGGGAGTGCCTACCTGCAGCACTGGAGGGGTACCTGGAGCTCTGCTGAAGGAGGGGAGGGGGAAGAAAGGGAGGGCTGGGTCAGTACTATCCTGGGCAGCACTCAAGGGCTCAGTGGCTTGAGGCAATAACAAGGAAGGATGGGGCTGGACAGCACCTTTTTATCTGCAGCTGAGGTGTCTGTATGTGTAAATTCCAGTTCCTCTTTTGTTGTCTCCTTTCTTCTTCCCTTTGCTCTGCCCCTTTTCTGGGCCTCTTTTCTACTGCAAACAGCGGAAAACACATCCCAACAATCCTAGGCAAACATTAACCCCAGGCGATGTTTTCGAGAGAGGAGACAAACCCAGGGGAGTGAGAAGCGAGGTGTAAGGACAAGAAGGAAAGGGGCAGGTGGAGCATGCGTGGGATGATGAGGAGATCCCGTAGACGGCAGTAAGGGGACAGGACAGGCCCCCACACTCGGCTCCAACTGATAACTACTGTCCCTAAGCTCAAACTGGGTCTCCTGAAAGTAAGAAATAGGGGGAAGGGAAGCAGAGAGACAGGTGGGTCCTGTGAGAAGTCTGGGGCTCAGCCTCCTTGCCTAGAGCCTGCTTTGAAAATCAGAATATGCAAGCAGGCAGCACTGGGCCCAGTCCTGGCAGGTGGGGACCTGCTGAGCCGCCCAGGACTCGAAGTTCCCCCCACCTCAGCCAGGTCATGTGCGGGTCCCAGGGCTGTGTGGGTTCACAGCAGGTCAAACAGCCACATGGCACAGCCAACCCAGGCCCAGGGCTGGGGTCCCCTATGTAGGAATCTAACACTTACATTTTCACACCACCCGCAGGGGACTGGCCAGCCTCAGGAATCAGGAAATAACCACCTCATGTTTGCAGGGCCCAAGGGACAGGGCCCAAGAGAGGGGTTCTAAAACAGTGGTTGTACAGACATGGAATTACTGGTGACATGAGTTTCGTTTTAAACCCCCATTAACCTTGCAGAACCAGCCAGTGCCCAGGAAACGGCCATGATTTGGAGTCCAGGGGCCAGGCCTGGTCAGCTACCGGCTTAGTGACCTTGGGCAGGTCACTTAACCCTTTCTGAGCTTCCACTGAATCCTCTCTTAAATGCAGGTGTTCCCCCCCCCAATTCTTCCCACCTCTCAGGATGCTGGTCCATGAGTTAGATGGTACATTCCCAATCATCCTTTAGTTGGGCAGAAACGATAAGATTTCAGTAAGGGGAGGTTTACACATAATGAAAGGGGGTTTTTAATGACCCTCTTTCCAATAGAGCACCCTGCCTATTCCCAGTGCCAGAGCCAGACACTTCCAGTTGTGCCTCAGTCAGCTACACTGAGTTGACTGAGAACAGTGGCTGTTGATTGAACGTTTGCTCACGTTAGGCACTATTTTAGGTAGATGAGTTGTCTCTATCCTCAGGACTACTCAGCAAGTTCGGTGTCATTACCCTCATTGTACAGATGACAGCTCCCTCTCACCAAGTCTAAAATCTCACCCAGCCCAGAGTATTCCAATTCTCTCTCTAGAGAGCTGAACGGAAGGACTGGCCAGGCCTCAGGGAAAGCCCTGGATTAGGACTTTGAATCCCAGGAATCACACCAGGGGTTCTAATTTTAGGCTTAGGCCTAGGGGATTATGAGAAGCTATTTTCAAGAGAAAAAACAAACAAACAAAAACCGTTATTCTCCGTGGTCTCTTTGGGAGCCATGGGCAGAGATGGGGACTGAGCCTCAGACAGGGTGGGTGGTGAGTGGGTGCTAAAAGGAGAAAACCACTTTCGTTCAAAGGGCTGTGGAGTTCTGGCTGGAAATTTGCAGTCAATCATCTGGAGGGCTCTTTGGACGCCTGACTCCAGAAGGGTCACAAAATCCTGGGCATTTATTCGCCAAGCCCCATGGATGTTACCCCCATGGACCCTCCCTGCCCTTCTGCTTTGGAACCGAACGAACCCCATTCCGTGGCCTTTGCAGGAAGTCCCCAGGCCCTTGAGTCCGGCCCTCTGCGACATCAAAGCCCCCCTGAAAGCAAAGGGCTTTGAAAAGATACGAAAAGCTTGGGCTCCTTATCGCGTACCTGCTCCCGCCCCAGCAAGTCATAAATTCCGAGTCTTTTCGGCCTCTCCCCTCCACTCTTCTTGCCCCAAGGTCTCAAAGGACAAACCTGTCACTTCCCGCCCCGCCCCTGAATTCTGGCTGAGGCCGAAAGCAGCGGGGACAGAGGGGCACAAGCTTCGGGGCATATTTGAGGGGCGGGTGCAGTGGGCGCCCTGCACCTCCAGGACACTCCTCGTTGACCCTCATCACCTCCTGGGGACCTCGCTTCCCTCCCGAAGCCCGTGCTCCCTGTCCGCGGCGCGGTAACGCGCTCCTGCCGCTTGTCTGTGCTTCTCCGCAGGCCAAGAGGGCATCCTGCGCTGCCACCCGGACCTGGCGGGCCGCGAGTTGCAGCAGGGCACGCTGACTGCCGAGTCGCAGCGCGAGCAGAGCGGCGCGGGCCTGACGAGCCTGGGCGCCGACGAGCGGCTCCGGCTGGAGGAGCTCAACGCGCAGTACCGCGCGCGTTTCGGCTTCCCCTTCGTGCTCGCCGCGCGCCTCAGCCACCGGGCGGCCGTACCGCGCGAGCTGGCGCGCCGGTTGCACTGCTCGCCGGCGCAGGAGCTGCGCATCGCCCTGGGCGAGGTGAAGAAGATCGCCCGCCTGCGGCTTGCCGACCTCCTCGGCGTCGACCCCTCCCGACTTTAGCGGCCGCGCGCGCTGGGGATCCGGGACGCACGTCGGGACGCGCGGGGACCGCGACCCTGCACTGTGCGCTCTGGGCGGGAGGCTGACGCAGCCCTGGGCCGGCGTCCACACGCGCGCACAGAGAAAGGGGAGAATTGAGGCAATCATAGAATAATGAGCCACCACCACCACCCACACACACACACACACCACCACCACCCCAAACACGCGCCCGCGCGCCCGCATGCACGCTTTGTCAAAATATCTATATAGTTTCGTGCTGTGCCCCGATTCGCCCAGTTCACTGCTTCGATTCTTCACTCCTTTTGCGGTCGGTTGACACCGCCAGCCTTTGTGGATTTCAAAGCGTTTATCCAGCTTTGGCTCCCCACCCTCGACTGCTAAGCCGGAGCTGCCAAGCAAAACTGATGGAAAAGGAATCTTTTATTTCACAGCGGTTTGTCTGTTTGTTTTTTCTTCTCCCACTTCATTTGCTGCACCAACATTTACATGTGAGCGGAAGCGGCTTTCTCACTCTGGGGCACCGACGGGAGCCCGAGCAAGGAAAGCAAGCGCTGGGCTCTGCCTGTGGCGCCAGGGACGTCACATCTGGGGATGGTGGGCAGGAGAGAGTCCTGCGATGGGACACCGTGGGGCAGGCGGCTTAACTGCTACGGTCGCTCTGAAGAGGGGGGTGGGAGTAGGAGCGTCGCCAGGCTGGACTGGCGGCCTCCCGTCTCTCTCGGAGGTGGGCCCAGGACAGTTGGCTTGTCAGAACTTCAGACTACTCAGGAAACCCATCGGTCAGTAAAGAAATAAAAATATAATAATCATGATCTAATAACATTCATTGAGTTGTGCTGGATATTGTGGGCCCCGGGATGAAGATGAGACCCCATAGCGCTGATAAAGCAGGTAGTGGAGGAAAATCGGTGCCCATAGAAATCTTTCTGGCCCGAGTAGGACGTCTCTGGGGACCCTGTCAATCCTCCGTAGCCCCAGCCAACTGGGCAGCTCCCTGCACTGGCCGCCAGAATGTCCACTCCTGCAGGAGCAGCCCACCACACTCTCTCTCTCAGCCACACACACTGGAAAGTCTAACAGACCCCAACAAATACTTCTTAGGCTCCTGTTGGCAGAGGAGAAACAAGCCCTGTGCACCCTCAACACAGCCAGGGTAAGAAGTGAGGCCAGGGCTGCCCCTTTCCAGGAAGACAAGAACCTGCAGTGTGACCATCTTGTCTGGCTTAGCAGCAGCAGCAACAGCAACAAGAAAACCTTTTTTCCATAAAAAGCTATGTGACCGCACTCTTGGTTGGGGGCTGAATTCAACAAAAAGCAGCAGCTCTGGAAGCACCCAGAATTTTAATGGGGGAACCTCATCTTACAGGCGTTTCCTGTAAGTGGGAAGGGTAAGGGCCAGAAACTGGTGAGATGAGTAGGAAAGTGAGCTGTGGCCACCAGCGTCTTTGAGATGGGGCTTGTGCCAGATGCCTTCTTCTCTGGGTGAAGGCAGGCAGGTGCAAGCCACCGAGGGAACTGGCTGACTCAGTTTCTGTGTTCTAGGACCCGGAGGCACCCGTCTCTCTCTGGCCTGGGTAACTTGGGGGCTTTCCTGACACACACAAGAAACCTGCTGCTTGGCTAAGAGGGTTTTCTGGCCGGGAAGTGCCACAGGCTGGGCCAGACACTCAGAATAACGCACTAGATTTAAGTCACTTTGTCCAACCCTGGTTGAGTCCAGCTTTTAGAATCTAGGCTCTACAGTGAATGTGCTCACCCTAAGATAGGCAGGCTTCCCCAGGGCAGAGATTCCTAGGGGTGGTTTTAGACCGAGTGTAGATGTCATCTGGACCTCTCAGGCACAACCTAGGTGTCTCCAGTTTCACAGTTACACTTCAATGTCTCAAAGCTTGTCAGGGTAATTGTTTATTTCTGCATGAGGGGGTAAAGGTGGGGGAAGACGCTGGATCCTCCCCTTCAAAGGAGCTGGGGGGTGAAGGGGCGGAAGAACTGGCAGCGCCTCTTTCAAAGATGCCAGAGCCCTTGCGGCCGCGAGGGCCGGCGCGGGACACGGGACTGGGCGCCGGGTAGGGAAGGGCCCTGGCCAAAGCCACTGGTGGCTCTTGATTTCTTCTCCAGTAGGAGCAGAGGCGGAGGCCGTTCCTCGCGCGGACGGGTCACCTGTGGCTGCCGAGGTCTGGCAGGGGAGTTTTCTCCGGCCACAGTTTGGCTCAAACAGTGACACGCCCTGGGCTTCTGCTGGCCACGGCCTAGCAGACACGTTTTCTCATTTCCGCACTCTAATGCGCAGGATGCGGGTAGACAAAGCCCGACAGCAGGTACCGCGGCAGTTGCCTTGGACCTCCGTGTGGGCACCAGCCGCCGCTGCGGGGTGGCCAGAGCACGCCCAGCGAATGTCTAGGGCGCAGAAATGGTTGGTGCAGATGCCAGGGTGAAAAATAATACTTTACTTACCAATTCGTTAAAAAAGCACGATGGCAACGCTAAGAGCTGGAGGTCCAGGAGCTGATTTCACTACCCGGAACCCTTCAACAACACCCCCCCCCACACACACACACCACCATACACACGCCCTTCTGGGGCAAGGGGGTGCTGCTTCGCAGATTTCCACTTCCCATTAAAATGTGCAAGCTCAGTCCGGGGTGTGCTCCGAGGGAAGGGACCAGACAGCTCTCCCGCTAGGAATTCCCGAGCCCAGCGGAGCTTGGTTCATCTAGTAACCGGGAACCTGAAAGAAAGCCTCCCTTTATTTCCTCAGAGAGGGAGGCTTTGGGGTCTGTATGTCCAAAAGCTGAACCCGAACACGGATATGGGAAGAAGGGAGGAGGGAAGACAACACAATTTCTTTGAATAACCATTACTCGTTTTTAAATTTGACACATTTCCAGAGAACAACCACAGCATATCAGATTTGGTTCAAAAAAAGTTAAAGAGTTTTTTTTAGAAAATATTTACTGAGGAACAAAAGCAGATGGATACCTTCTCTGGAAATTGGAAACAAATCTGGGGTAGAATTTAAGGAAAACTCACCATCCAAAAACAAATAAACCGCAGTTAACAGGTGCCTGTGAAGGGAGAAATACACAGGACACGGAAAGTAGTCAGAACTGTTCCAACAGCAAAACCTGATTGTTCTGGTTCTATTTGGGTTGGGGGGGTGGGGTGGGGAGCTGGCATTCCGGGAGTCATGCCCGTTGGTTTCCTGTTGGGGAGGCAGTGTTTCCAGGGTGGCACCAGCAGCCTTAATAATGATTAACACGTGCACAGAATGCTATGGATTACAAAGAATGCACCTATAGCAGCTCATTTAATTTTAGTGACTGGAATAGCTAGCTAGCTGTATGACCTTGGGAAAGTCACCTGGGCCTCAGATTTCTCCTTTGTAAAATGGAAGGGCTACACAGATGCTAAGTCCCCTGTCTCTTCTCTAGGGAGAGTAGCTTTCTGATGGGCCCAGTGACTCAGGGAGAACCGAGCCTTGATTTGAGCTCCTCCTGCAGCCACACAAAGCTTACTGTGTAGGGTTTCTGAGGAACATATTTTCATATGATAAACAAAGGTCACTGTAGGCACGAGACACTGGCAGGTGAACAAATGGTAACTGAAACCCCCTCATGTCAAAGCCACATGATAACCTTTAGCTGTTTCCGGCCCAAGAGTTTGGCTCCCTCAGCATCAAGGGTGTGATCCCAAGTCCCTCTCTCTGGGGCTTTAAACCATCGTCTGTGCTCATCCATCACACAGAATTGGAGTGCTTTATACAAGACGCACAGTGTCCACAGACTAAAATAAAGAATATGGGCAACCCCACCATTGACTTGCATAATTTTCATTCACCCAATGAGCAAAACCAGATTTCTGCACCCAAATATCACCCCTTCTCCTGAGGCTCATTATTTTCCTAGATCTTCTGGCGTTTAGAATATATTTTGGATAGAAGAGCAGAAAAAAAATGTATTCCTTATCTTTGGACCAGAATGCTTGGCAGTGCCTCCACGGGAGGAGGAGGGCCGCTGTTTCCCCACTTTCTGGCACTCTAGGCCCTGAGTTCCACCACCGGCAAATTCAGGAATTTTCCCTCAGGTAGAGAAGACCAGACACTCAGTTGGCCTGGGAAGAAACATTCTTGACTCTGCTGGGCAAGGACACATCTGCTCCTGTGAATGGAGGCTGGGCAACTGCAGCCCCTCTCTGCTTTTCAGGATGAGCACATTGGGCTCCATGTGGCCTGATGGGGCTGAACAGGCAATGGACTGGGGGGGGGGCACAGAGAGGACACTGTGATCGATTTCCTTCCCAGAGAGGTTAGCTGAGTGAGCTGTGACAGGCCAGGGTGGGGTTGTTGGGGTCAACCCAGTCATTATATGAGCCTTCCTATGTATGGGAGGGGAGTTGCTGATTGAATGCAATGGTTGAGAAACTCTAAGCTCCAGCGAATACATGACTGTGTCATTTCTCCACAACAATGTAGATTGCTGAGCTGAACAATTTTATCAGACAACATTTTCTTCCTTCTTACTCTTCCTTAATTATCCTGGGAGCTCAGGGCAATGCAGGGTGAGGGTTTCCTGTGCAGGGGCGGAGAGGGAGTTGGGAAGGGTGCACTACTTGGACAATTTCCTTGATCTTAAAAGGGATTCAGAAAGTAGATGAGGTGATGCATGCTAAGGTGGATAGAGATGGTCTGCCCTATCTGGGTTACAAGGATCGCAGGCTCCCCAGTTTCTAAGAGTCACAAATATGAGGGAAAGCAGGGTCCCCCAACGTGGAGCAAACACTGGGGACCTTTGAGCAGGGAGGGAGCCCTGTCAATGATCTGTGGATTCAAGGAGTGTCTCATCTGCCTAGAGGAGCAGCCCGCCCCTTCCGGCGCCTCCTGCTCACAAGCCACCTCTGCACCCCTGTCCTTGCCACCAGGCGGATACTGGAAGCCCCAACCCTCTCCACTGGAAGTCCCAACCCTCTCCGAGGAATGCGGAATGGCCTCTACACCATCAGTAACAAAGAGATGTCCTTTTGATAACTGAGTTGTGGCAACCCCCGTAGTCTTCCGGACACTTTATTTACCTGGGTCTCTCTTCTCACCCTCTTTTGCCTTTAAAAGCCTGCTCTAGCTCTGGCTCCCTGGGTCCATAGCTTCAGCCCCAGCCCAAGCCCAGCCCCAAACTTCCCAACAAGCTGCTCCCTAGAGCGATTTGTTGAAGACCAGAGGTCCTGGCTGGAATGGAGCCTTGAGCAGCGAGGTTGGGAATGACCTTGGAAGCCAAAGGCTCTGAGAAAGCTGACAAGCACCTTGGGTCTAGGACTGAGAAAGTTGTACTTGGGGCCCTGATGCAGGTCACACCAGCATCCTCCCACAGCCACACACCTTCACCCAGATGCTGGAGAAGTCACCCCATCCAGAGCAGGCCTCAGAATAGGCACTCAAAAAGAGCTGCCACAGGCTAAGCCATCATATGAACAACACCCAGGCTCCCTTCCCATCAGCCACCTCTACCCCTCTCTGACTGCTCCGTCACCGGCCCTGTGAGCACCCAGATGGGCCTCTCTGGGCTGAGAGGGCAACGTGGATGTGAGGTGACACTTTCACTCTAAAGATCTTGTCCAAGGACATCATTGTTGGCTTCTTTCCCCTCACCCAATAGCCAGGCCCCAAAGCCCCTTTTCCCAGGAAGGAAACCGATTCGTTTTCACAGTGATTTCCTTTCTCCAGCCCTCGAACCCCAAGTGAGTCTCAGGCTTCTCTGCGGTCCGCCTAGCTCTGTGGCCTGGCATGACCCCTGGGGCCAGAGCAACCCCGGCCACCCCCATTTGGGTGGGCAGGCCAGAGCCCTTTCTCCAGGGCAGAGCACAGAGACACAGCTGGAAAACCGGGACAATTAGCCAGTGGCCGGCGGCTGGGCCATAAAAACGCAGGAAGCGGCCACCGCAGGGCGGAGGGGACGGCTGTCCCCAATAAAGTGATTGTTCCAAAGAATGCCCACATTCCGAAGACACAGGCTCGAGCCCGGCCTCGGCTGGCTTCCAGAGCTCGAGGCTTGAGAGGGGGGTGTGGGGGACGGAAGGAGGGATTGATTGTGTCTCCAGGAAGAGGAGGAAGATGTTTGCTAGATCAAAAGTCTGCAGTGCCCATCACTTAACCTCTCACATTCCTGCCCCATCAGGACTGCAGACATCCCTTTCACACACACACCCCATTCAATGACTTGGGTTCTGTAATGGGGCTTGCAATTCATTTTCTATTTTTTTCTCAAGAGGTCCGATGACACCCAGCTGTCTGGGCCAGGCCCAAGAGGTCCACATGGATGACCTGCTCTGGTCTCCCACCTCTTGAGTGCTCAGCTCATTGCCCCCCACCGACCCTCAATTTTAACTACTTTCCTTAGGAAACAGAAAGGACGGGAGCGACCAGCAAACAGGAGAACCCCGAAGCCCTGAACTTGCTTGGGCCTGGCATCTCTGCAGCTTGTTAGGTGTCATCTGTAAAACGGAGAGGATGACAACATCAGCCTTGTTCCTGATCTAGGGAGATGTGAGGATCAAGGGAGATAAAAGATGACAAGATGAAGTGACAAATACCAGAGAATGCTTGACAATGAGAACCAAGCGCAGATCTGGAGGAGAGCAGCCCACCCCACTGCCCAGAGCGCGCTCAAAGCCACCCAGTCAGCCGGCCCAGCCTGCGGAGCCTGGCCCTACGAATCCTAGCCTGGCAGCACCATCTCAGTTCCGAGAGAAGGCAGACGGCGACAGCAGGCCCACTCCTTGTGGTTGATAAATCGAGATGGGCGCGTGAGGAAGCAGAGTCTCGTTGCCATGTGCTTCTGTTCGGGCAGATCCCCAGCCAGGCCCAATAGCCGCCACTTCCAGCCCCTGGCCCCTTGGAACTGCATCAAAAACCAAGGACGATCCTTTCTCAACCCTTCACCACTCAGAGCTTTTCAGAAGAAATCATTAGTAATGGGCCAGGGTTCCCTTCCCTTCCCCTGGAGAGGACAATTTTCTTCCGAGAATGTTTTACATTGTAAAGGAGAAAGTGATTTTAAGACCTAGGTATGATGTGTAACAGAAATACCTAGGTACCTACTAGCAGACATTCTAGGCTCCCTTTCCCTTGATTTTTAACCACTTATTTAAGTATAGTAAACATGTAAGGGTAGCTCACTGGATTTTCACAAACACACCTTGTAACCAGCACCCTGCTCAAGAAACAGAATATTACCTGCACTCTAGCAACTCCCTCCTGCTCCCCTCCATTACTGCCCCCCACTAGCCTGGCTTCTACCTTGGCTGGGAGTTAAGACTTTTGAGTCTTGAATGTAAATGCTTAAAAAAAATAATTGCTTTAACTTAAATCCCAAATGTGAGATGACCTCGTAGATGCAGCCTGCAGCTAGGGTCATAATTGATCTCATTCGGAGGGAGACTGGTTTCCTTGGGGAAGAAAATAAATGATTAGCGGTGACATTTGTTTAGGGCGCGCAGTTGTCCTGGCCAGGGGTGCAGAGCGGGAAGGAACCGGCCCAACTCTTCTCGCTCAGCTCGTCACCTCCTGGGTTAGTTAGAAATGTTGTCATCAAAGCAATGGTTTCCCTTTTCTTTTCTCTTTGGAATAGAAGGAGCTCTGGACTGCCCTCCTCCCCTTTTCTGCAAATGCATAAACACAACTCCTTAGTCTCCAAGCCCAGATTCCCACCAAGATAGCTCTTTCTCCCTCTCTTTTGCAAGTCTCTTGATTTCATTCTTTGAACCTGTGATTGGAGGTTAAAGTGCACCAGGTTGGAAGGAGGAAGCTCTTAACAATAAAGGTTTGAATATTTAGCTGTGATCGGGTCGCAGCCCTCTCGCGAGCTCCCCCCCCTTATCTTTTAAAATGCAAATCGTGTTTCGGGGGGCTGTGCGCGGGGTGCGTGCTGCGCCTCGACGTCTCCAGCCATTGGTGTCTGTGTCATTACTAATAGAGTCCTGTAAACACTCGTTAATCACGTAAGGCCGCCGGCCCAGGGCTCCGCAAGCCAGCCTGTGGCGGGTCTTCCCCGCCTCTGCAGCCTAGTGGGAAGGAGGTGGGAGGAAAGAAGGAAGAAAGGGAGGGAGGGAGGAGACAGGCCAGTGGGAGGGACCGCCTCAGAGGCAGAAGCGCCGCGAGGAGCCAGCGGAGCACCGTGGGCAGGGGCGCAGCCACCCGCGCGCGGCTCCTCGCGCCCCCTAGCCCTTTCCCATCGCGCCCCCCCGGCAACCCCCAGTGTCTGTCCCCAGGCAGCATGGTGAGGTTGGCTGTCGGGCCCTCGCCACCATGTACGTGAGCTACCTCCTGGACAAGGACGTGAGCATGTACCCCAGCTCCGTGCGCCACTCTGGCGGCCTCAACCTGGCCCCGCAGAACTTCGTCAGTCCCCCGCAGTACCCGGACTACGGCGGCTACCATGTGGCGGCCGCGGCTGCAGCGGCCGCGAACTTGGACAATGCGCAGTCCCCGGGGCCATCCTGGCCCGCAGCCTACGGCGCTCCGCTCCGGGAGGACTGGAACGGCTACGCGCCGGGGGGCGCCGCGGCCGCCGCCAACGCCGTCGCGCACGGCCTCAACGGGGGCTCGCCGGCCGCCGCCATGGGCTACAGCAGCCCCACCGACTACCACCCGCACCATCACCCTCACCACCACCCGCACCACCCATCCGCCGCACCTCCCTGTGCCTCCGGATTGCTGCAGACTCTCAACCCCGGCCCTCCCGGGCCCTCCGCCACCAACGCCGCGGAACAGCTGTCCCCCGGCGGTCAGCGGCGAAACCTGTGCGAATGGATGCGGAAGCCCGCGCAGCCGTCCCTCGGAAGCCAAGGTAAGCGGCGGCGCGCCCTGCGGGAGGGCGTCCTGCGTGGCGCTGACCGGGCGCCGGCTGCTGGGCGGGCCGCGTGTCCCGTGCGCGCCCGGGCATCCGGGGCTACCTGGAGGCTCCGCGCCAGGAAGGAGGGGCGGGGAGCTGGGGCCCTCAGGGCTTCTCTAGGTCCTGCGCCTGGGCTGGCAGGGGTCGGGGGTGAATATTTTGGTGTCACACCCCGTGCTCAATTTAGGGCCGAGGAGAAGCACGGCTGTACCAAGTGGATCGCGCCCTCTCCACTTGCTGCCACCGCCGCCCGCACTCGGTGCGCAGCTTCCAGCCACCGAGAAGAGGGAGCCTCGAACTCCACCCGCCGGGCTCTCGAGCATTTCTCTCCACCTCCTCCTTCCGCATCTGACTACTCAGGAAAAGCGGTGGCCTGGGGGGCCAGGAGGGCGGTGCGCGGGGCCAGGTCTGGCCATTCGGGCCAACTCAAGTGATCAGAGCTACAGCGAGTAGGGAGACCGGGCAGAGGTGCTGTGGCTGGAAACGAGGTGTTGGCCTCAGAACTGAGGGGAAGGGAGCGCGCCCGATCTTTGAACTTGTGATCAGCAAAGGAGTTATTTCAATCAGAAGCTGGAGGGCTGTGGACAAGAAGCCGCAGGAGGGAGGAAGCCTTGGTGGGGATTCCACCGCTGCTCCGGACGAGGGATAATTTGTCCCGAATCAAGCATCTCAGGGTGTGTATGTGCACACACGCTTGTGGCCAAGAAGCTTGCTTAGGAGATGTCCCTGCAAAGATCCTATGTTTACCCGACTGTGGGGCTCATGGGTTCAGGGTCTGCCCCATCTAATGTCGGGATGTGTATCAAGATGGGAAGGAAGTACGAATAGGCGTGTTGGGGAGAGTCCTGTTGGTGGCCTCCTGTACTCCATGCAGTCTTTCCAGCTCTCTGCACTTCCGCTTTTTTCTCTTCCCTCCTTTCTGGCCCAGCCAGGCTGCCTGCAGGCTATGGCCGCTTCGCAGAGGTTTATAGCCTATTACAGCCGTATAAATCAGAGCGGCCGTTGGGGGCTGTCTCTGGGTATCGGTTTCTGCGTCACTGGGCACATGCCGGGATCGTCCGGGTGGGAAAGGCGGCCGCCCAGGGAGAAGGCCACGGGACAAGCCTCGCAACTTCGGCTGGGTCCCTTCCCCTACAGGAGGCGCCCTGGTCGGCGGGACGCAGCGCGCTCCCAAAGAAGGCTCCCTTTATAGAGCCTGCCTGGGACGCAACTGGCGGGGACCCGGCGGCCTAAGGGAGACCTTTGGCGCGTCCCGGGAGAGGGGAGGAGGATAGGGGAGAAAGGGAGGGGACAGCCGCAGGAGCCCAGGCCCCAGGGTCAGCAGATGAGAGGCCGCTGTGAAGTCCCGCACCGAGGTGGCAAGGACGCAGTCGGCGCCGGGCGCCCTTGTGATGTTAATGTGGGGAGGCAGCGGTCCGCAGGCCAGAGCCCGGCTCCTCTGCGGAGCGTCATCTGTCAAGGGGTGAGGGGGTGGTACTCGGCCCGGCCCGCTTTGATATACACCTTCCCAGCCCTGCCATTGTCTCTTTTAGGGCCCGGAAAGAGGGTGGTGACTTTCGCAGTCAATAATGAATTCTGGCAAGTTCCTCTCATCTCTCCCCTCCTCCAGGCCCCTCCTTGGTTCCCAGGGGGTGCGGGGCTCCTCCAAGACCCTGGGGCGCGGGCGGCAGACCGCGAGGGGTCTTGGTTACCATGTTCCCCTGCGCGTCCGGGATACTGAAAGGGCAGCACCCCAGCAAAAGCTGTCCCAAGCACCCCAGGGCGAGTGTCGCTACTGGGGAGTTGGGCTCCGAGAACTCCTTTGCGCACGGCTTCTCAGCCTTGAAGGTGTCCCTTGTGGCTCCAACCAGGCTCCAGTGCCAGCCGCGCCTCTACTATCTGCATGACCCAGTCTGACTCTCAGTTTCCTTACCTGTAAAAAGGGGGCGATTACCACGGGCAGCCTCGAGTGGGTGTGAGGCAGCATCGCGTGGGAATGCGCCTACGCCTTGGAAGGCCCTCGGGACGTGTTAGCTCCCTTCACTTTCTTCGCAGGCGCGGGGTCGCGGCCGCTGCGCCCATTCAAATGCGCCTGCCGGGCAGTGTTTATGTTAATGCGCCTGGTGGGGAGGGGGATGAAAGCCGGGACCGCCATTTGCTCAGTAGTGGTAATTCAAACAGAATGCGGTTGTTATTAAGGCATTGAAAGGGCTTTTCTTTGATAAGATCGCCTTGTCCTGCATTGTTTGCGACTGTGTTCCCCTTTCAGCGGCCTGGGGGAGCTCCCTCTGATCCCGCCTGTATCTTCCCAGGGCGCTTTTGTTGTGGTTTGCAAAGGGTTTTACCTGAACAAAGTCGGCCTGCGGGGCATGAAACACCTCCAAGCAGCTCCCAGACCTTTAGATCTTCCTGTTGGATTGGGCACTGGGAGATTGAACCAGTTCTGCTACCAGAAGACCCCGGCCTGGTCAAGGCTGTGCCGAGGTTTGACCTAGGACAGATCCGTTGGAGACGCCAGGCTCAGACCTGCTCCAGCTACCTCGGTACTATTTGTCAAGGCCCTTCAGTAAAACAATCAATCCGAGGTTTAATATGTTGACAATCCAATGAGCACAGATCACTGGTCAGGATAGCTCTGGCAGGGTTTGCAGCAGAAATAAATGGGGAATTAAAAAAGAAAAAGTGGCAAATGCCAAACCAGGTTCCACCAGGTATATGCAATGTCCCCAGCTGGAAGTGCCAGACCCCAGCTCAGAATTCCTCCAGAGGGGCCTAGTGTTCTGGGGGGTAGTTCTGGTGACTTGAGGGGTCCTGTCCCTTCCTGCACCCCTCTTAACACTTCCCATAAAGCAAACAGAAAGTAACACCCCACCTCAGCCACCAACAACCATACCTGCAAACCCAGGTGTTTTTAGGTGAGCTTCCATCTCTGGTGGGCCTGAAAATCTGAATATCCCTGGGACTCTGCCCTGCCCCCTTTCCCTGTGGGCCTAGGTGGCTCCAGTACTATATTTGGTTCTCGGAAAGGGTGACTGGGTTCTGCTTTCTTCTGTGTATGAGGTTTTAGTTTTTCTTAATTTTTAAAAACCACTTAACCCCAAGGTTAGTTTTGTTGTTCCGCTGAGCCCCTCCCCCCCCCCCCCGCAGGACCCTCTGGGGGGTCTTGTCAGACTCCACAGGAACCAGCCAAACCCCTACCCCCAGGGTGATGGAGGAAGAGAAATGACCCCTGGGTTAGGGAGGTTTGTCATTACCCATGACTGATGGGCTGCCTTGCAGTTCTCATTCCTAACTTCTCCTTCCTCCAGTGAAAACCAGGACGAAAGACAAATATCGGGTGGTGTACACGGACCACCAGCGGCTGGAGCTGGAGAAGGAGTTCCACTACAGTCGCTACATCACCATCCGGAGGAAAGCCGAGCTGGCCGCCACACTGGGGCTCTCCGAGAGGCAGGTGGGAACTGCCCTGCTCCCTCCGGACCTGGTCACTGCCTGGGGTCGGGGGAGTCCCCTGGGGAGAGTTAGAAGCAAGATGGAAGAATCCACTAGTTCTGTGAGCAGATTAAAGCAGGAGGATGGAGAACATTTTCTTTCTGAATACTTTTTTTAAAAGGCTCCTCCCACCTGTAGTTGTCTTTTCTTGATGATATTGAATTCCCCCCCCTCCCCCTATTTGGAGGGGTCTGGGAGGTATAAGAAAGAACAGTATTAGTTTAATTCAGATTTCTATTTGGGTCAATAAAGACTTAAAGACCTATTCTCTTTGGGCCCCCACACTGTACTGGGAGGGGAAAAAAAAGTAACATAAGACTCAGTCTCTGCCCATAAAAACTAGAGGGGAGAGGCTTGGCTCATGAGCACTCTGCATGGTCTAGAACAAATAGGCCAAATTCACAGCCAGAGATTCACTCCACACTGAATCTCATTCTCGGCTCCAAGGTGAGGGATATTACTTTTCGGTTTAGCGTTGACAGGTCAAAGGTTGTCATCTAAAGTACATCCAGCACTGGCCTCCTCTTGCTTGGTGTAGAAAGGGCCTTGCAGTTTCTGTTTTCCTTGGTTGTGAGACTCTGAACTTTTCCAGTAACGTTGTAGATAAAGGTTGCTTTGGAAAGAAACCTGGGAACAAGGAGGAAGGAAGGCTCTTCTCTCAGGAGGCGGAAGTGGGCCTGGGAAGGGCTCCAGCTTGGGCTGGGCTCCAGCTTGGGCTGCTATGGGGCTATCCCAGGAAAGGCTGTGCGAGGGGTTGGGGTCCTTCCGTCAGAGAGGGCACTTCTTTAGTTGGAGAGGGAGATATTGGTGTTAGTGCTGAATACCGGTCCTTTCCCCGCTCACATCATCTTCTTCACCACCTTCTGATTTCTCCACCTTTCCGTTTCCAGGTTAAAATTTGGTTTCAGAACCGCAGAGCGAAGGAAAGGAAAATCAACAAGAAGAAACTGCAGCAGCAACAGCAGCCCCCACCATCTGCACCCCAGCCTCCCCAGCCACAGCCAGGTCCTCTGAGAAGCGTCCCAGAGCCCCTGAGTCCTGTGTCTTCCCTGCAAGGCTCCGTGCCTGGCTCTGTTCCTGGGGTTCTGGGGCCCACTGGGGGGGTATTGAACCCCACTGTCACCCAATGACCTACAGTGGCCTGCAGCAGCAGAGCAATTCCAGGCTGAGCCATGAGGGACATGGACTCCGCTCAAATCCTCAGGAGAGACCCCTTTCCTCCGACCCACAAACGTACACCAACTTATCCGGTTCTCCGAGGAGAAATGGGGGCCAGGAGCAAAGACGAGTGGGTTTGAAGGCCTCAAGGAAGACATTGCCCCAGATTTTGACCTTTTCCGGTCTGACTCTTTCTGCCAGTGAGGAGACGGTAATGATGACCACCAGGGCTTCATGTAGTACTGGCAGAAGCAGTGTCTGGACTGGCTAAACGGACCAGGCTTTCAGCCCCTTCTTCCCCAGCTCTTTGCCTTTAAGACTTGCAGGATGCATCCCTGGTTGGAGCTGAAGGAAGAGAGGGACTCAGGGGAGTGCCAGTGCTCGGAGCCAAGATGGCTACTGTGTACTCACTGCCATCCAAGGACCAGCTGGCCCCTCCTGCCTCAAGGGAAGGCAAGATTTAAACTGCAGAAGCCAGAGGCAGCTAAGATAGAAACCTGGACTGACCAAAGACTGCAGAGCCCCCCCCCCCAGGTCTTTGTCTATCTTCTCTTCCCTCCCCAGACCAGGAAAGGCTTGGCTGGTGACTATGCAGTGGATGGGGTGTGTGTGTGTGTGGGGGGGTTCCTTGTTTAGAAAGCCTGTCACCAGAGCTTCTCTGGGCTGAATGTATGTCAGTGCTATAAATGCCAGAGCCGACCTGGACTTCCTGTCATTTTCACAATCTTGGGGCTGATGAAGAACGGGAGTTGTTGTTGCTGCTGTGTGGGTTGTTGGTCTGTGTAACATCCAAGCCAGCCTTTAAAAAGCCTTCTGGATCCATGGGGAGAGAAGTGATATGGTGAAGGGAAGTGGGGGGTATTTGAGCACAGTGGATTTTTTTCTAAAAAGAAACAGAAAGATAAATGAACTTCCCAGATTTCAGATTCTGTATTTACTGCATTAATATTTTGTCCAGAATTATTTTTTATGAAAATCTACTCAACTCGCCAATGATAATTAGCAAAATCAGGGAGGGGTTGGAGAAGGTTATCTGGACAACCTTTTTTTACCCCAGAGCCTCAGAAGCTGGAGGGAGCAGGTTCTGAGACCTTCCCTGCCTCCAAGACTGATCCCAGCCTTGGATTGTGAAATGTGTAGTTCTCATAGGGGTGCCTTTGGGCAAAACGCACATCTGAATGCGCCGCTGCTTCCCAACTGCTGGCAGTTTTGGGGGTTGGGGGTCAGAGAGCCCCCTCATAGCATCTCATCTAATTCACACGGAGTCATTTGCAAACGTTCCCTTCACCGGTGATTCCCTTCTTCCTAGGGATCCCCCACAATTCAGTAGTTAAACAGGAGCATTAAGTAAAAGTGTTTTATTTCCTGTTTTCCCAAGGCAACATTTCCATGAATATAGTCTTCTGTGAATCGCCGGGCATTGACGCGAGCCCTTTCTCTCTCCACCCCGTACCCTGTCCCGCACGGTTTCCGTCTACGATTTCCCCCCTTCCCACCTATCCCTAGAAACAAGAATTCAAGAATCAGCCTAAGAAGATCCTTTTAGTGATGGCTGCTTGTTATCTGGCTGATCCGCTGGGGTCCGGGCTGCTGTCCTTGAAGTTCTTGGTCCTGGAGGCCGCTGAGCTGAGCGCTCTGGGCAGGGCTGAGGGGGGAAAGGGCTTCGTTTTCCTACAAGTCCTTGGAGCCTTAATCAGCGCCTCCAGAGAGGGAGGAGGTGTGTGTGGGGGAGAGCGGGGCTGGGGAAGGAGAACAAAGTTGCGAGACATACCCCTCCCTCCCATGCAACATCGCCCCAATTACGCGGCGCTTCCGGGTGGTTAAGGGGCCCTTGGTGGCTGGGCCCGCAGGCGCCTGGCCTCCGAGTTGGAGGGGGAGTGTCGGGCTCCCTCCCACAGGGGAAGCCTGGTTGGAGTCCGTTGAGCAGGGGGCCCTGGGGTGTCCGGGCGCCGGGATCCCGCGGTGGCCGCGCCCCCACGGCTGCCCCCTCGCCGCCGCCTCGGTTGCTATGCGTTGCTGTGAAACGCCTGTCAATAAACCCTGTTTGGACAGTGGAGCGAGAGCGCAAGGGTTGTTTGCTTAGTGGTTAGAGGTTCAAAAGTCGGCATTGTCCCGCTGCAAACGATTACAAGCTCTTCCCTTTCCCGGCCCGGCCCGGCCCACGGCTCTGACTCCCGTCGCTGGTCAGACAGCGCGGGGCGCTTCCGGGCGAGGAGGGGCGCTCGGCTCCTCCGAAACGCCAGGACCCGCTCCCGCAGCCAGCCACCCGCCAGTCTCCCAGGCCGCTGAAAGGGCAAGAAGCGCGGGCCGTCGCCGGCAAGGGAGGCCACTGCACTTCCGACGCCAGGACACCGCCCCCCAGCACGCCACCCCCGGAGCGAGCTCAAGACAACACGGGGACGTGGCGCCAGTGGGCAGCGCAGCCTGGGGAGGCTTAGCTAGGTCGGCGCCCGGACGCCCGGGTTTCTATTTGATAGGATGACTTCTCGGCTGCGGGCGCCTCTGGCGCTGAGCAGGGCGTGGGGGACCCGGGAATCCCTCAGCCCTCCGGCATCTTGTTCCCGGCTCGGGCCGCCAGGGGGCGCGCGCGCTCTGGGAAGAGTTAAGGCCGCGGCCCGCATTCCTCGCAGCCTCCGAAGTGGACCCGGAAAGGAGCTGGTTGTGACCCAGCTGGAGGGTGCCAGCTCCAGCACCTCTCCCACCCCAGGCCCTCCCAAACATAGTAGAAATTTCCCCACTATGGCCACGGGCGTGTTGAAACGAAGTTCAACTAAGGCAGGCGCAGGAGATTCAATCTTTAAGAAAAGCAAATTTGGAGGAGGGGAGCTACCCACCATTCTAAAAGTCTTTTTGCACAAGATGTTTTCTTAAAAACTTACAGTAATATGGGTACGATACTAATATATGGAAAGATTGAGCATTTATGATAAATATAGGGGAGGGGGGAGTACCAGCATTATGGAACTCAAGTCCAAAAAGGTATATATGGGGAGAAATCAGCAATCAGCCTGAGGTGGGGTTTTTTTTTCCCCTGTGAGTAGTTCATGGCTTTACCATATTCACCCAATAAAGTTAACAAGATGGACTGCTAATGAAAGCAATAAAAGCTTCAATGAGTTTCACTTCTTTCTGATAGTATCTAGTAAAGAAAGCCAATCTTAAATAGAAATCTAAATATATAAACAGCAATATTCTTGCTGTTGTTACAACCACTCAGAAAAAAACAAGAGAAGGTAGCAATAAAAGCAATCTCAGCTGCAGAAGAGTATATGATTTTTAGGAGCACTATTCGCACCTGGTTTTAGAGACAGGCTGCTATTTTCCAGTTTAATGACCTTGGGGGAGATCACAAGCTCTGAGCCTACACTTCCGCATCTGTAATATGGGGCCCAAATGAGGTCATGTAAGCAATCGCAAGTTACAGCATACACTTATGATTAGATCCCGATAATTGCACGAACTGCTGCTGCTTTTTATCATGAACCATCTTCTGCAAAGTGCTCTAGGGTCCTTACAAAAAGCCTTTGAACAAGGATGTCTCCAAACACAATAGAATAACCCCTTCTCAGAGTTGTTGCTAATGCGTTCAGGTTTGCTTACTTCAAAATAGCCTCAAGTCTGTTGTCTCTTGATTTCCACAGTCTGGATGTCTGCACAGAATCTTAGTAGTAAAGCTCTGACATTCCAGATGAGAAGATGAGTTACTGATCTGCATAGCTTACTTGCCCTTTCATCTACCAAGAGATGTCCCCAAACACTTATACTTAGGAGACAGATTAGCTGAGGATGTGGCTGGGAACCTTATAAACTATCAGGACACTTTTTAAAGTTTCTTTATTTTGAAACAATTTCCATCCCAACATCTCAGTATCAATTCTGTGCTCTTTAATTTATTTTGTTATTTGGTTTTAAGAATTTGTTAAAATTGAAATTATTTTCTTAAACCACACTTAGACCATACAAACTTCCAACTCCCATTACACTTACATTTAGCCATTTTTTCCATTACCTTTTTCCTTTCCCAGCTACTCTTCTTTGTCAAGACGATGACTATGATTTTAGAAAACCAAGCAGGTTTTATTAATAATTGAGAGGAGCTGAGTGATACTGGGCCAAAACAATCATTAAATTTACTTAGCTACAAATCAGAATATTTACTTCTTTATCACTACTTTCTTGAAGGTTATGAAATTAGAACTAGGGGAAAAAATTCTCAAATTCCAAACAAAGAAAGTAGAATCTGTCAGTTACCAAGATTATACCAACATAACCTTGACATTCTTCTTGGAAGAATTGGTTTAGAGAAGGTGGGGGCAAGTGCATAGGTGACCTTTTGGCTCTTATGTTTCTAGTACCCAAACATTATATTTGTTTTAACAACAGCTTCTCCAAATTGGGATTTGTCATTGATCTCAGTAGATATAGATAATATCAACTAGGCTGCCAGAGCCTCAAAGTTAAATGATCAGTTTGTTCTTTCTGCCAGATCCTGGCAATTCTGTGCTAGAGATCTAATCCATAAACCAGAACACAACCAATTTTGATCCATAAGGAAGAGTTCCCTGAGATTAAATGATAACCAAACCATCTCTTCATGCATACATACATTTACTTAAAAATAATATTCAGGTCATGTACTGGGTTTATGTAGCTACTATTTTATTGATAAGTAAGAACCCAGGCATTCATGCATTATAATACTTATATTTTAATTTCTAGGAAAGGAATTACTTTCTAATCGCTCAGGTGTTGTCTCAGAACTTCCAGGGTTGACAGTCTGTTATCATAACACTTTGTATCTGCAGTATGACAATAATAGGTCTTATACAAGTGGTAGTTGATAAATTCCTCTCCAACCTCAGGAAAGCAAACAATGAAAAACAATGTAGGAGCTAAAGTACAAACATACAATGGCTTGTTGTGTGGTACTTAAATAATTTTAACTTATTGTCAATGAGTGGAATCAGCAACAAAGATTAAGTATCTAAACCACAGATTAGGAGTTGTTAAAAGTGACCTGGGCAGCTCTTTTATTGACTCATGAAAGACACTTA